TACTTCAGGCAGTAGCGCGGGCGGTCTGAGGCACTCCGCAGCCAGTTGAGCTGCCGATGGAACGTGCTGGGCCCTCTACAAGGAGCGTACAAGCCGTATCCTTTGGCGCCCCTCCCAACGACCAGATGTCGATTGCTGCATCGGAGGGTGAGCCAGAGCTTTCTGGAGAGGATGATTCGGCTGCATTGCTCTCCTCCGGGACTGTAGCAATGCCTGAATCAGATCCAGAAATAATGGTTATGCTTTCCCGGGCCGCCGTAGGGGTAGGGCTCGAGTGGAGACTTCCACCATGTCCCGAGCCCTCAAGGTTGCACGATTGGTTCTCGGGGTGGTCCGCGCTGGTTCTCAGCGCCCCGCCTCGGTGCCTTTCTTCTCGGAGGAGCATGAGGAACTCAAAAGGTCATGGACGGCACCTTTTACTGCCGGAAACCGATCTGCTGGTTCCTCCTCCCTCACCACCCTCGATGGTGGGGCAGCTAGAAGGAGCGGTCGGTTGCGATGCAGCTGTGTCCTAATACCGCCTCCAACCGGCAAGGAGAACCGTGCCTCCCCTCCTGGGTCTGTAGGTACTCGACTGGCCAGCGATGCTTATACGACCTGTGGAGAAGCTGCCTCTGCCTTACACGCTACAGCGTGATTGCAAGTGCACCAGGCCAAGGCACTGAGGGACTTGCACGAGGGTGGTCAAGACCTGGAAGTTCGCAGAGAACTCTGCACCGCGGCGGACCTTTTCGGCGACAAGGTGGAGAACTTGCCCAGCAGTTCTCCGCTGACCAAAGCAGACTGAGGCCATCAGGTACACCCTGCCCCGGCGTGCAGCTGCTGCCGTCGCCGAGGGCGGCCCCGCCAAACCTGGTGGCAAGCGAGAGAGCAAGAGGCCCGGAGACGGGCGACCCAGAGGTGGAGGGACGTGCTCTTCAGGAGATGGTAAGCACACCACTCCCTCCTGTAGTTCCATTGATGCCACTTGCGCGGTGTCTGGGAGCCTGGCTAGAACTACCCAGCCCATCCCGATGGCTCCTTAGAACCGTCAGGCTCGGCTATGCGATTCAGTCGCCCGGCATCCCCCCAAGTTCAGTGGCATCCGTTTCATAACAGTGAAGGCGGCCGATGGTCCTGTCTTGCGGGCAGAGGTCACAGTCCTACTGGCGAAGGATGCGATAGAGCCGGTCCCTGCAGCTGATATGAAGACGGGGTTTTACAGCTCCTACTTCATTGTACCCAAGAAAGGCGGTGGGTTACGACCAATCTTGGACCTGCGTGTCTTGAACTGGGCCGTTCACCGGTTACCATTCAAGATGTTGATGCAGGAACGCATCTTCGGGTGCATCCGTCCCCGAGATTGGTTTGCAGTGGTCGACCTGAAGGACGCGTACTTCATGTGTCGA